AAAGGCTGAAGTAACCGAGGGAAGTTGCAAAGGGCCCCAGGCCGTGAAGTAGATTTTGGTCGCTGCTCTCCTAAATCGCGAGGGCTGGGGCGCGGGGGCATTGCTGGGTCCCGGTTCAATGGCAAACGGTAGCTGTGGCAGGCTGTGCCCTGAGGGGGACGAGTCCTAGTTTTCTGGCTTACAGCAACCTGTCAGGTGCCTTGGCGGTGGAGAAGTGCCCCAAAGGCCCCCAACCCACCTGCTACCAGACAGTGGCGGGGGGGAAGAGCCTGAACAGTGCGAAAATCCCAGAGGGCTGAGAGGGTGCTTGAGATCCATTTCCCCTTGATCACGTCAGCGGGGAGGGCTTGTTTGCACAGAGGCAGCCCCAAACCCCGCAGTCACTGTAAACCACTGGCCAGGCACTTGCAGATGGCTGGAGCTGGATTCCCCCCTGCAACACGAGCTGGTGTGCAGATGAGCTTGCTTTGATCTCCTTCCCGTCCACCACTTCTGATCTTGGCCAGGGGCTTTCCTGTGTTACTGCTGACTTCTTCAGATCCTGGTCATCTAAGCTTCAAAAGTCCAATGCTCAGTCCAATGCTGAACATCAAGTTTCTTTCTTACAGGACACCACGGCCGGGGGAGGCAGCCACCTAGATTTTAAGGGTCCCAGAACAATCCTTAAGCAAGGGCCTACTGCAAGAAATGTACAGGCTTAGGCTAGAACCTCTTTGCATTTCTCTATCTTTTATTTTCCCTTCCAAATACAGGTAGAAGTCCTGCAAGTCCAGGATCCCTCTCCACTACTTACTAACAGATGTACTTACTTTTTGTTTTTTCTCAGTCTACAACATGGAGCAAGAGACACTTCTTTTAGATCCTCCTATCTCCTTTGTCAGGTGGCTCCCATATCTGGTAACAAAATTTGTGTAGAACAGATGATTTATCACCTATTTATTACCTCCTCACCTCATCTATAAGACCAGGTTTGCCTAGCTGGTAGCATCTTCATTCTTCAAGGGACTGTATTTGAATAGAATATTATCAAAGTTTAACAATTCTTTACTGATCATATGCCAGCAGCAAAAATTTCTCCTGTCACCTCTTGTAGATTTTCGATTAACAAAGAAGCAAAAAGTTTTCAGTCTGACACAGCTATACATAGAGATTCCTGAGTATCAAACAGCATTCATAAGCTGTACATAGAGAGACTCCCTAAATTGTCATGAGTCCTTAGTTAATCACAGACAAGTGAGGATAACGCTCTGTAAGGGGAAAGGAGAAGAAGAAAATAGGAGGAGCCACTTTGTGGGAAATTTTTATTTGCATTACACGTTACTGTTATTTTTTCCTATTATGCTAGATTTTGCGTTACTTTTAAACGAAAGAGTAATTACTTGCAACTCCACAGCTGAGGTTGCATTGTGATTTGCACTTGTAGCAGGACTAAAATCTTTATGTTTCATACTTGGATGACTGCATTTAGACTACACATTTAGCACAATAACACTTGAGTATTACAACTGAATTTTCCTTTTTAAATAATATTTATTCACCTTTTGCAGAGGAAAATTTTAATTGCCCTCTTTTTCAAACGTTTCACATTTTCTTCACATCTGTGAGTTCTCCTAGCATCAACTCTGGGGGTTCCCATGTATTTCAAGTCATTCTCCAGGTAGGAAAAGAACACAGATAAAGGTAATTTTGAACTTTTAAAATTAAGCAGATAAAATTATCACATTTTTTTTCACAACCTAGCTACACCTGACAAAGATTTGTCAGAAGTAGCTATTTCTGGTTTTGCTTTTAAAAGCTACCAGTCTCTGTCTGTCCTGGATTAATATTCTGATGAAATAAACTTTTCTTTTAATTCTAATATCTGCTTTTCATGTGAATTCAATTTTCTTCATTGTTTTCTGATTGCTTCTAGCTATAGCTACTGTATTCTTCTCTGCATTTACTACTGGTGCTCCAGCATAATTTTGTAATATTAGCTGGAACTGTTCTATCTAGTTTTTATTGAAAAAAAATCATTTTGCCAGAATCAAAAGTTTCACACGAGTACATCAGTTTTAACATGAAAAAGTTGAAAAAATATGGGACTAGTGTAAAACCACATAGTCACCAAGCAAAATCTCTATCTTTTCAGCAAACTACATCATCTGATATCTTCTGTAAGCCTGTAGTTAATTTTAAAATCAGTCTGCTTGTTTCTTTAGTCTTGCTGAAGGCTGTTTTTCAACATCACTCTTCTAACTTATGTCAATAGTGTCCTTAAGTGATATTATTCTTTCTCTTCTGTTCAACTTCTGATGTGTTTATGCACAATAATCAGTTTTCATTTAACTGAAGCAGATCCTCTTTTAATCTTTTTTCATAAAACAAGTTCTCTATTTCCCTAAAGACCTCTTTGACCTACTACAATTTAAATTAGTTTATCTTATACACTGATGGACAGTTTTACATGGCATTTTAGTAAACTCTTACTAGTAACATGAATAATGACATTAGCATTCTCTCTTCTCTAAGTTTAATACAGCATAGGATTGCCTTTGCTTTCTTTCATGGCTGTCCTATAGTGCTGCTTATGGCTCCTCCTGTGACCACTACTAACAACAGATTTTTCTCTTGCCCAATGACTTTCAACTCATAAACTACCAGATGACCAGATGATAGCAAAAATTTTTATTAGGCCCTAGTGTATAATCTTGAATTTTGGTTTTCTGTAATGTAATCCCATTTCTTGGCTCCAATATCTTCTCTGTGCTGATGACATTAAGTTGGGAGACAACAGTAAATTTCACATTTTCTTTCTTTCTAAGATTACTAGTGAAAATATTAAGACTATAATAATAATAAATGAAAATGAAAATAACAAGACTGATTCTTAAAGAAATGAACTAGAAACTTCCATGTTATGCAGTTCTCTTTTCAACATAAACCCTCTTCATCTTGCAGCTGCTTACCCACTTTACAATTTTGTACTAGTTTTCATCTCTTTCATTTAAATAATTGTCCATATACAGACTGCTTCCAGGCATATAGCATAAAGCTGTGGAAGAAGCACGGTGGTTAATGCAATGGTAGATGGAGGTATCATATGTTTGTGAGACAGGAATAAAGATACAGCATAATTAGAAGGATAGAGGAGAAATACCTCTGTATTGTATGAGGTATGTCTACCTTGGGGAAGGCCCAGTGCATCTCCATACTAGATCTGTGCCTTCGAAAAGTACTAGGACCATGACTCAAAGAAAAATCACTGTTGCTGTTTTGGGCAGAAGGGGCCTATTTTCAGTTCGTTTCACCTGTTTCTTCTAAGTATTTTTAGAATTTCTCCATATTCCTTATCACAGAGCTCCAATACATGGGCGATTTTACTCATGAGTCATTTCATGAACTTCTGTATAGCTATGTACCTGTAAAAGTATTCAAAGTATCAAAGCCTAGTTTTTTTCTGTTAACTTTTATTGTTATTAAGGTACAACTTTATGATTCTACTAAATGATCAACACCTTTCCTGATCCCTTATGGATGTTACAAACTGGTCAAATTTATTACATTTGGATGCACCATTCCAGCACTGCAACATTTGAATTTATCTGCACCCAGGTTCCATGGATATATTTCAAGTTATATGTGTGTTAACACTATGGATTACTTCAAGCTTCAGTGCTGTCACATCTAGACATTACTTCTCAGTGCATCTCTGCCAAAGACTTTAGATGAAATCTTGATCACCTAAAAATCAAAGAAATTCTGCAATAACCTTCAGCAGGGCTAGGAGTTCACTCACTGAATTTTCTCCGAGGATTCACTGTATTGGACATGAAATTCATAATTACAGTAGTTTATATAAAAATATAAACATCATAGATTGTCTAGATTTTTTTTTCTAGAACATGAGTTATATTGAAGGAAGAGTGTTTTATGATAGGGTTAGTTCTGATTTAAAAAAGCAAATGATAATAGTACAGCTATGTGAAATGTTTGTGGCCTGAAGGCTATATAACATTTGCTTGATTCAGGACTTAAAACTCAAACTTTGGTCACTGTTATTCATCTGCTAAGGTTCATGAAGTTGGCCTGATTTATGATTAATTCTGGCCAGTACACAGAAACTGTGGTTTCGGTTGAATTATGGTTTGAGTATTTGTTTCATTCTGAAGCACAGAGTAAAGCTCAAATGTGAAGGGTGTTTTTTGCCTTGATTTTCAAT